GAGGTTGCTGTGAGCTGTGATGCCATAGCCCTCTACCCAGGGGGACAGCTTGAGGCTCTGTCTCAAAAAAAAAAAAAAAAAAAAAGAAATCAAAACAGACCAGGTGTTTGTTGGTATTCTGGAAAATATCTGAATCCCTCCACCCCTCTGTGGTAGAAATGAATGTGATTTTTTTTTAATGCCAAAGAGAACTGTGATGTTAGTGTGCTAATTTCAGTTCTTACTTGAAGTTCTGCATCATATGACTCCAGAGTGGGCAGGGATCTATTATCAGGGTCCTTTCAGAAATGTTTTAGACGTCTGTAATAAATATCCATTGTTCTTTTACACAGCTTCAGCACTGACTCACGGGTGACTATTCTTTGATCATCAAAGAAATTAAAAGTCTGTTTTCTAAAGAAAAACCTGTTTTCCTGTGGAATCTTAGTGCTCTTGGCATCATACATGAAAAAAAAAAATCAGCCTTTAATTAAAGAAAGGGAAACTGACATTAAGTGCCCAGGATAGACAGACCCTCTGCTAGCCAGTCTCACATGTAATCTTGTTTAATTATAAAGTCACTAATGTTTCATGTGTTTTTAAGGAGGTAGAAACAGATGCTCAGAAAACTGGGATAACTTATTCAAGGTCATCCAGCTGGCAAGAGCTGCAACTGGAAATCAGCATACACTGTACTCCTATTTTAGAGGCTCCAGCTTTTCATTAAAACAATCAAAAACATTCCCTTTATTTTTTGTTTTCAGTTCTTTAGAGGTCAAAACTAAAGGCAGCAAACATTTGGGTTTCTTTGCTCTATTACTCTTAAATATAAAACTAAAAATATGTTTTAATCATTTCAGTCCTCATAAATTCCTGAGGATTTCTTTTAGTCTCCATTATTGTTCTGAAACTCTTATGCACCACTCCCACTCTAATAAAAGTCTGTATTTTCAAAAACGAATGGCCAAAAAAAAAAAAGTTGGTTCCTATAATCCTTGTTCTAGGATTAAATTAAAACTTGAAAGCAGATAAATCATTTGGACACAGCCAGGCATATCACCGCTGCTCCATAAATGGCTGCTAGACATTTTTAGGCAGAAAATTTTAGATTAATCAAGAAGATAGATAAGATAAAATTGTGTCCATTTTACTTTAGAGTCAGTGGGCCCTTCGTGTCTTGGAATGCCATTTGCTGTGCAACCGTCCTGAGGGTTTAAGGGGGAAAGGATCACCCATCACAGCTGTCTCACGAATCTACCAAATTTACCGCCAAGTCCCTCCCAGAAGAGCTTCCAAGCGGCTGGAAGGACCCTGGGAATGAAGGACGGAGGAGGAACTTCTCTGGCCAGGCCTTACCTCCTCCTGCATTTTCACCATTGTCAGTCGGGACTTTTCTGCCTCCAGGGTTTTCTCCTTCAACTGCCTTTGCATTTCTGCAAGCTCCCTGCGGTTTTTTTCCTTGTACTCATCCAGCTGGTTCTGCAGCTCCAGGGTTGAGGTGCGGGAGGCTTCAACAATATCGGCCATCTGGAAGAAGGGACAGGGATGTGAGCCCACCCTGCCAGGCCCCACCTGAGACGGGGGAGCTGGGTTTGCATCCCATTTCCACACGGAACGCAGCTCCTCTTCTGCAGCTTTTCCACAGCCTCCTCAGAGACTGCCAAGCCCCTGGGCCTGGGCTGGGGGTGCTCGGCCCCTCTGACTTGGAGGTAGCTGAAGGAGTGAGCTAGACACACAGTCCTGGGCTGATGTCCCTGCTTCGATACCTACGGGTATATGACTGAGGCACGTCCTTAACCTCTCTGGGCCTCAGCTTTGCCCTAACTGGAAATAAATGAAATCACATCTACTTTACAGACTTGTTATCAGAATTAAAACCATACACAGACAGATAGAGTTCCAGTTAGAAACAAAAATAGCTAGTAAAGTGCTTGACCCATAATAGGTGCCAGAAAACGGGCCCCCACAATACGGGGAGCCCATCAGCTTTGTGCCTTTCTCCTTCTGGGTATTCTGGGCTTTAGGACTCCCTTCCACACTCCTGGACAAGTAAGACAGATGGAAATGCACCGAGACTCTGCACAGAGACCAGTTGCTGAGCCAGGTGACACTGGTTAAGCCTGCATGTACACGCTGGGCCTCTTGTGCTAACTGTTAGAAGGTGATTTTGGTGCCCGGACTCCAGAGGGTGCAGGCATTTACTTTCTCTAGCCTAATTTCTCTATATCTGGGATTCTCATCAACTCCAAAGAGCTGCTCCAGGGGGTCTGCAAATCCCTGACACATTCGTGCTTAGACCCACCTGCAGGTTCCCAGGTCTTCACCACATTGTCAAGGGAACTGAGTCCTGCCCCCTCCTTCCTCCCCAATGCCTCACCTCTTTCTGCAGCTTCTCTATGGTCTTGTCTAGGTGCCACCGCTCGCTCTCCATCTCGTTCTTCAGCCTTCTCAACTGCTCCTTCTGCTCAGTCTCATTGTTCAGCTTCTCCGACAGCTGCTTCTGCTCCTGGGTGATCCGAACCAGATTCTTCTGCAAAGGGCAGGGAGAGGACAGTGCAGTCGCCTACCTGCCAGGCAGCCACAGGAATGGGTGGCAGAGGGGATTTCCTGGCCATGCCACCAAGCAATGAGGCCTGTCACATCAGTGATAAGAGAAAAGATCAAAATAAAGCCAGGACAGAGACACAGGGACACTTCTGGCTCTGACACCCGGGGAATGAAAAGGGAAGTTCACATAACCACAAACAACCACAGGAATGAAGGGACGTACAAAGGATGCATTACAGAAACACACGGCCAAGGCTGCTGGCGCTGTGACTTCAGGATAGGGTCTGAGAATCTTAATGTTCATCCTTGAAAATTGAGGTAAAGTTCTACATTAGGCCAACCTAAACCTACTTAGCAATTTATATCCTGTGATATTGGCACTGCAACTAACATTCTAGAATCCACTCTGCTATGGAGATGCTTCTTACAGTTGGAATAGCTAAAAATATTCCTATAAAGAAAGAAAGAAAACACTGTCCCAAAGGGCAAAGGTTCATTCAGTTGGGAGAGGGAGCTGCAATGCACAGAACCCATCAGTTGGGCTCCAACACAGATGAAAGGAATTTGGAAATCCACAGGTTGATGAACTGAATGAACAGAAGATGTTACATAGAAGAGACACTGGTGAGAAAAAATACACAAGGGGGGGTTTTTAGTCAATCAGCACCAAGTACTAGTGCCTATTATTATCTAATAAAATGCAACCATTGTGGGTACAATGTTCTCCCTGGTTCCCCTCATATATTCACACAGACTAATGTCCATTATGTAAAACCATATACAAT